AATTATTAATTGTAGATATTGTGCAGCAATAGATAAATATTTTCCTGCATACTCGAATCTCAAAGAACATATCAATCGTGAGATATCGTCTTTAAATGATAATTTAAAACTAAAAGATATATATTTTTGAAAATTTGTGAAATCATCGTTAAAAAAATGCAATGTACATTACATAAATATGTAATTATATAATATAATGAATATATGTATATATATAAAATATAATTATATTCAATTATTATGTTCAATATTGTTATATTTTTTCTATAAATATGATATATAACATTGGTATCATATCACTCATATGGACAATATAATTTATGAAAATTTTCTCTATTTTTAAACATATGATTTCACTATTACAGTATATTTAAAAAATTATAATAAATTACCAATCTTTTGTATAGACTGATGGTTTTATAAAAAATAATATTATTGCAATATTATATTATAATATTACATATTATAATGCAATATTAATTTTAATGCAATATTTTAGATGATTGAATTTAACCTGTAATTCTAAATTATATGTCCTAAGTTATATGATATTCAATTATGAAAAATATAATCCAATGCATATGTTAAACATCAATTTTGTCAATGTTCTTCTAATTTATTCCTGAAAGATTCATTGCATATTAATAAAATAATAATATTAGTAGAATTATTTGTTAATATAGTTATAATATGCATACTTTCCAAAATTTTCAGCATCTTCTATTGTTTCGGGCAATTCGCAGTTCATCGTTTCTGGTAAAAATAAACAAAGCATGGCGCCTATTATCGGGCCTAAACCAAATATTACTGGAGGCAACCAAGGTTGTATAGTACCCTATAAATCATTACATCTAAACAATCTTTCCAAGCATAAAATAATAACTTGTTATTTATAGATGTAAAAATAATAAAATGCTCTTAATGTAACATTTTTAATTTAATTTTTTTATTATGTGTTATATATAAATATCATTAATTACCATTGTGGCAATGTATGGTGCAATCATACTTCCGATTCTGGCAGAGATACTTCCCAAGCCAACGCCAATATTTCTTACAACAGTCGGAAACACTTCACCACTGTACAGATATACTGTGGGAAAACTAATAGCCATACCCACAAGACCCAAAGATGCCAAAAATATCCGGACATTTGCGTTAACTACGAGAGTTATTAGAAGTAAACTCACGCCAGACAAAATGTTTCCTCCGATCAAAATTTTTAAACGCGAAACTCGCGATATCAGAAACAATACTATTATAGTTCCAGGAAATTGCATGGCAGCTGTAAGTCATATAAATTTCATTGCTATATATTTCATTGATATATCATAAAATTTAATAAAAGTATACTGTTGAATTTTACCAGAAACTGCGATATTAATAAATATGTTGCCATCTAATTGACCCATGTATTGCGCTAATCCAAAGAAACATCCACCACAAACGAACCAATTGACGAGTATGTATATAGTTTTCAGTCTCAAGTTTGAAGTTCTAAATAAATGCGTGATATTGTATTTCTCGGCACTCTTCGTGTGTCGGGTTGTTATTAGGTTTTCATGAGCTTCAAGCGCTAACTTTACATTTTCTATCGGTATACTATTTCGTTCGGCAGCTTTTATTAAAATTTGTTCTGCCTGTCTAGGTTTGCCCATAACTAGAAGCCATCTTGGTGATTCTGGAATAACCCTATTAACAGAATACCGATTCTTCATAACTGCTTATTCTTAATGATTTTTTTCTCGATGTCAATGCTCCATGTGTCTGTTTTAAAAACGTTCTTCATTTTGCTTTACAGTGTATATAACTTATTCTACGTACCAGTAATACGCCAATAAGAAAATTGATGGTATTGAAACCGCCATTTGAAATCCGTACCATGTACGTGTTAAATAGGATATCAGAGGATTCGTTAAATGTCCGAGTAAAAACGGTACGTGATACAGAACTGACATAATCGATCGCCATTCAATTCCAATGATCTCCATAACTATAATCAATTAATAAATTAATTTTCTAATTGAATTATGTGATTTTACTGTGCTAAACTTACGTAAAACAAAGCTGACGACCATCGTTCCGCCAGTAGATACAGCACAGATGAATTTGAGAACCAAGAATAATTCATACCACGGTGCGAATGCGCTTGCAAATCCTGCCACTGATTGCAATGCGATTGCGATCATTAACGGTTTCTTTCGACCAACTCTTTATAAATAGGAAATAAATAAATCTCATTAGTAATTAATAAAATGAAAAAAATCATAATTATATATATATATTTAATTTTAATTTGTAAAATTACAGTCATTTATGCTATATTATACAAAGATTTCAAATTAACGTACCTGTCAGCCATCATGCTGAAAATTAAATTACCGATGAGCACGCCAAACATTGTACAGGATTGTGCAAAATTTGCTAGTTGCGCTCTATCACATATTAAGTTCCACTGAAAAAAATTAACGTTATCGTTTATATAATTATATAATTATTTGTTTATATTATTCATTATATGTATTGTTTATATTATTCATATTATTCAATATATTTTTTGTTACATTCATTTTGCAAAAAAGTTGAAATATTTCTTCACAATTAGCAATCAGCTAAATTATATTTTAATTAACTTTTTATTAACTTTTTATTTAATTCATATCTGCATTAATCATGTTTAAATTATAATAATTTACCTCCGTTATAATACTTTCTCGAAATATTCGCCTATTGTACTTGAAGTCGGTGCACTTTTCTATAGTGCCATTCCCAATGTCAACCTCACATTTCATTGTCATGGATTCGTTCAGATTTGCTGATGAAGGAGCGATGCAGGTGAAATTAGTAGGCGGAGCAAGAAACACGATGGAAAGCTGATGCCAAGCTACTGGAAATTTGACGAGGGAGATTGCTACAGTGATTACAATGTGCCATGGGCCCATAGAGCCCATGGCCTCTTGAATAGGATCCAGCGGTACAAGACCTGAAAGAATAAAATATAATACTTGATATAAAATAAAAAGAATATTAAAAGAAATGAACATCTATTCTTTTCCTAAGAAATTTTCTTAATCAATCTTCAGCAAGTTTATGTTCAGTTGGATTCAATAATGTTCTATAATAAAAATTTACACTTCTTCGAGCAAATCAGAACGTGATTATAATTAACAAATTATATTTTTAAAATCTTCAAATAAATCTCTTCAAATAATAAAAATTCTTTGAGTCATATTAAATCAATCATTGAAAATAACTTGAGAATAAGAAACTTTATGTTTACTGATTTTGAGAGATAATTTGAACCAAAAGCAAAAGATTAAATTAAAGAAAAGTCTCATGTATAAAATTAGTCTTTGCAATTTGCATTTACAAAGCCTTTAATCATCCGTGTTTTGCTTGAAAGTAAGTGAAACACCAAAGGTGATATTAACAATTTCGTTGAGATATTAGCTTTTATCGATCGCTTCATATTGGGCTCTAATCTAAACATACCGCAAGCTCCACAAACCAAATCTAATAATAAGACACAACATTTCCGCAATTCGTAGCGATAATAATTAAGCATCGCACCTAGAAGCTTTAGTTAATTACTGAAGATGATGCGGAAATTAAACATTTTAACTCCTAAAATGGAATCCCATGAGATTTTTTCAGAATTAAATTTCAGAAACTCTTGCAATTAATAAATCGTGAAAAACAGAAAGTCTGATTCAAACTTGCAATATAATTTATTTTTATATACAATTTTAATTCGCAATTTTCAATTCTTTTTTTACGAAAATAAAATTCATATTATTAAACCAACAAAATTTAACGGTAATTCAACTCGAATTTCCACTGGCGTTTATTCAAGTTATGATAATATTAACTTTTTGATATTTCATCCACCGTGATGAAATAAAGTATATCGTTGATGTTATCTCGAATGTCAATGCTCAAAGCGATTCGTTACAATGAATGCCGCAAAATCGACTTAAAATTTTTCAAACCGGTATTAGTTAACAGGATATCTAGATCATGAGTATCGTTATCGTATGTATTTATGCATACGTATATATTTTGGTGTTGCAAAAACCATTGTATTCGTATCTCATATCACTATGGTATATCATATCACCAACATATATGAAATTGTTCAATATTAACTCGTCGTGCAAATGAAACCTTAGTACAACAACACTTTATCGAAATCGTGCTGAATTACCTAGAAAGAAATTAAGGTCACTCTAGATAATCTGCAATTCAAATTTGTTTTAGGATCCAAGATGAAATTCTATTTATAATTTAAATACGCATTTGAGATAAGTTGTAGCTCGCGTCAGATTTCCATTTCGAATATATTCCTTATAAATATCTATGTGTTTGAATTTATATTCAAATCATTAAAAATATATATTTTATCATAAGATATGCGTTTTCCGACTGCCTTTACATATAAACAATATTTTTTATATATATAATTGTAACTATACATAACCGTATATATAATTATATATTTTTACATATGGACATATCTTACATATAATTAAACATGGAAAATTTTTTTATAAAAGTAAAAAAGTAAAATTATAAATCGAATATTTCCATATTTAATTCTAAAAAAAATTACTGTCTCTAAAGTAGACTTCGATGAAACTGACATGTTTATGTTTTAAAAAATGAGAAAAATTAAGAAATAGATTAGAATTAGAAAACTGCGAACGTTTTTGTAAAAATAAATAATTTTTCAATTTTTTATACAATTACTAATTTTTTAGAATTACAATAATTATTAATTTCCAATTTTTGTAGAATTGAATAATTAAATTTTTAAACTTTTGTATTGAATAAATACTAATCATCTGTAATCATAAATGAATTTTTATTAGGAAAAAAAATTCGTCACTTTTTCTTCGAAAATAAATTTTGATTAAATGATTTATGTGTATGATGTACGTTATACTGATAACAAGCAGAAACTTCTGTCAAATATTTCAGGAAACATAACCGTTCACATATATATGTTTCATTTACAAATTACAAAAGAAAAATCGTGTTCGGTCTAAAAAAAGAGAGTTATTCTTCAGCATTCTTATGTAATTCGTGCGTAAACTTTATCTACGTTCTTTCAGATTATATATATAAATGTTACTTTAAAGGATTAAAAGAAAACAAAAGTGAGCAGTTCGAGGTAAGTTTTAACTTTAATAAGTAATATAAGTAATATTCTCTATCGAAACTGATAACGATAATAATATCGATATAGTATGCCAAATTACAAGATACTATATTGATTTTATTTTAATATATAATTTATATAACTATAAATAAAGATAAATTTCGATCGGTTTGAGGACCAGAGGAAAAAAAAGAAATATTTAAATTGGAATTTGCGAATTATTTTAATTCATATTGTGTAGATTAGCAAATCTATATAATTTTGATGCAGCGTAAAAAATAAAATTTTGTTCGCGCAATGTAATACAAAAATAGTTATTAATTGTTTAAGAAAATTTAAATTTCACACTGTTCTAAATGTCACATTCGCGTTATGTAATCTTAAATGTAAACCCAGACCTTAGTAAAACCAGGCTCTGGCCTTATTTTTCCAATGCATATTTACAACGCACAAGTGTACATGCGGTCTTTATCATGTTCAAAATGCGCGAAATGTATGAAAATTCACGTGATACAAATGCAGAATTGCGTCATCAGAAAAATATACCTTTAAGAAATGAAACAAATCTCTATTACAAAAAATTCCTCATAGAATAATTTTAACTTAAACAAAAAATTCCTCATAGGATAATTTTAATTTAAAAACCAAAAATTCCTCATAGGATAATTTTAAATTTCAAGAGCTTTAATACAAATATAAAAATAATCATATTATTTATAATAATTTATGCATTATATTTGCAAATTATTGTAAAATATAATTAACGATGATCTACGAATACGATTTGCTCAAAGAAATTGCTTCTCGAATGTTTATCCACTGCTTGCAAATTAAAAAGATATGCAATAATTTTGTTCAAAATAATCATGGATCAAGATATGAATTCTGATTAATAATACATGTTATGATAAAAACACACTAAGCAGTATTATCAAGATAAAGAGAGCATTGCATTTGATGCAAACATTACCGATATCGCGCCAATCATTCTTGCTGTCGCGTGGCATCTTTTCCTCTATCTTCTCAAATATTAAAAGTCTGTTTTAATGCTAATTATTTTTGCTGCAAAACGTGCGAAATGATATTAATATTTATCATGATAAGACATGAGATATATTTATAACTTTTCTTATAATATATAAAGTTGACGTGTTCGTTCGATATTTAACAAACTAAATAATAATAAACCATCATTTTTGTTGGTCAAAATATCGTCAATAAACACAAAAAATTAAAATATAAAAATTGTGCATAATGCGCATGTCAAGTTATACATTACGCTTGAGATATCGCCAAATTACACAATGTACCAAATGATTGTAATAATTTTTTACGGGCTATTTAGCAACATCAAAGTATATAATTTTCATAACAGGCAATCGTAATTGTTCGTCATTACATAAAAAAAATAATTATACATAGTTACACAAAATATGATAACCCTTATAATAATATTTAACAGATCTTCACTTTAGCGACACGCAAATTTGTATATATACAATAATACGTTATAATTCGTTGTAGAACATTTTCTAAATAAAAATAAAATACTGCTCACAGAAGAAAAGATCAGTTTTTTTCTATCGAAAAAAAGAAAAAGAAAAAAATCAATTAGCTCATGAGTTTGTATGAATCTCCTGTCATAATGAATTACATTTGAAATGGGAAACGTGAGTGCTCATCTCTTGCGAAATTATGCACCGTGAAAATTAACTGTCACATAACACGTGCACGTTGCAGTGATGCAATTTAAAGATACATGTGTCGGCGCACACTGGCCGTCATTTGACATATATTTAATACATACCGAATTCTCTGTATAAATTTCAAAAGCGAACAATTCTCGTCTCGGACTCGCAAAGCCAACAAGATCAACTTACCTCTCATCGTGTGGTCGATCACTGACAACGCCCACAATCTTCACCGAACAAGAATTTATTTTCGACGACGACGTGATTTCCGTCGCCAACGACTGTTCTGGTGCCGAGTGCCCGAGAGACCGGAGCAAACTAAAAACGGATCTTAAGTTTGCCACCACGCTGTCTTATCGACACGGAAGGGTAAAGCAATGCGTCTTGCGACACTTGAAAGACATGGATTCATATCTGATCATTATCCACTTAACGCGTTAATACCCCCTCGCCGTTTTAACAAATAACTTGCCTCACCTTCTCAAAGACTTCCGTGTTTCTGCACCTACGAGTAGACGAAGTTATTGGTCGTACTCGTGGTGTTTTAATATGCAATTTTTCTATTTTATAAATGCGTATAACTGACGTATAACTCACGTATAATATGAACATATCGAAAAAGAAAAAAATACACAAGATGTTTCTATAATTAATACAGTTTAATGTCAAAATTAATAAAAAATGCAATAATTAAGATTTGTTATATGTATATTAAGTTAAAAACGCTAAAAGGAGCTCGTTGGATTATTAAAATTTGTTTTGCATTAGAAATTTTTTGGTTTTTTGAAATTCAAATTGTATAAAAACGTATCCGAAGAAAAAAATTTGATGTCATGAAATCTGATGTCACTTTTCTTTGTAATACATACACTTCGATATCCAACGAAATCCTTTTATCTCCAATTGCTAAAAACCTTGTGATTTCCGCAGTTGGAATGATTTAGCCGAGATAATAATATTTACTTGTCGAATGCAAATTCGCTGAGTTTGTTGCTCACAAATCGTTTTGCTTCGCTACTGTGTTCATTATCTGGACTCGATAATTTTCGTTTCTTAATGAGTTCTGAAGGTCCAACCGTATTGTTTGTGTTCGATTGCGCCGTTTCCTCTTTGTATCGCGTCAAACCAATTTTAGTTAATTCAGCGACGTTCACCTCAGAGAATTCTTCTTGCAAATTCTTTTTATTCTTGGCGTACCAATTAACGAACGATTCTTTCTTAGTTTCGGTCTTCGATTTTGATTTAATAGGCACGACTTTCGTCAATGCAGGTTTTTGAGGTTTTTCGGGTAAAGTGTTTAAACCAGCTAAACCTATTACAATACAATAAAATAAGAAAGTATTTCTAATAATGAAAGTATTTCTAAAATGGAATCTAAAATGAGTGTTGTTTACCTCTTGGTGACAGAGATGGACTTCCGGCTTTTAAGAATGGATTTACTCTCTTTAATGTTTGATTTATAGCTAATGGCTTAATCTCTATTACCGGTTTTTGGATGGATGGTAATGGAATATCTTCCTCCTCTTCATTATTGATGCTAGAATTATCATTGCTTGTGAAATCATCTTGATAATTTTCTATATCCTCTTCTTTCGAATCTTTAGATTCCACCTTCGAGTCAGCGATTGTTTCTAATTTTTTTGCCAACGCCATTTTATTTACACGCAAAGCGTACCGTACGGCCAGATCTATTACTTTTGATGACGCAATTTGTTCGCAAATATCCACTGCGCGATATTCCAAATTGCTTCTGCAGGCAAGCTGATTGTGAGAGTTTAAATATTAGCAAAGTTGGATAATAACAATACTAACTTCTAATACCTTCTACCAAATATCTAATAAAAAATTCTAATATAAAATTCAAAAACTATTTACCGCTATTAATGTTAATACTGCCTCAGTTTCATCAGATGGATTGTTTCCTATCTCCCACAGTTTACGTTCTTTCTCAGTTTTCTCAGATTCCGGCTCACAGAGAGGTGCAGATAAAAATACTTCGGTAATTATCGGTCGCGGGGTTGTTGGTGGATAATAACTGCCTTTGCAGAGAATACACCGCATATTCCGTTCATACTCGCTAACGCCAATTATAAAATAGTGATCTGTTTTACCTTTTCCCTAAAGAAGCGATCACGAGTTAAACAGACCGCTTGAAAAATCTCATCTACAATTTGCAAATACCTGTGCATTCGTATCGCAGAGCACTCTCCATTGACAAGATCTCTTATCATATATCCTGATAATATCGTCAGAATCCATGATAGTGGGAGAACGAGCGTCTGATAACCCTAACCACATGAGATCTGATGCTGGCGAAAGTGGAAGCATTAAAGTTTGACTGCGTAAATGCGCTCCTTGTATTTGTATCCATAATAGATTTATATTTTGATCACCCGCTGGACCTTATAGCCAAAAAAAAAAAATATGCTTTCAAACAAAGCACATGTACTAAAATTATGTATATAACTATAAAAAAAAAACATTCTTACCAATTCCAGCATGATAAGCTATCACAAGATGATTTCCTAGACCATTCATTGCAATCACGGGTCCGGGCAGTGCTAAGATTTCACGTTGCGTTCCTCCTATCATAAATATCCTTAAATTTCTCTTAGATGTTGCTACCGCGATGAAATTGTCACCAACTGCCAAGCATTCGGTTTCCTCTCCTTCTGGTAGATCCAAAGACCATTCTTTATTTCCAGAACCCCATCCTAAAAAATAATAGAATTTATTTTATGCAAGTGTGTATATTTTCTTTTATGTTTTAGATTTTTCTAAAGCATTAACATATAATTAAAAATTATTCTATATAAATAATAACTTAACTAACCTTGCAGAACTATCACAACAATTTTACTAGGACTATCATCAAAAGCTGCGCAGCTTAGAACGAGTGCTTGAGTAGATAAGGCAGCTAAGGAATGTCGCAAATAATTATTTATATGCATACTACGATGAACTGTGACATCATGAAACTCCACCTCAATGCTGGATTCTTCTCCGTCCTCTGATGAGAAACATCTCACCATTCCCACATCATTCCACATCTATATATTATATAAATTTAACTTTATAGATAATTATTATGAGTACATATGTAAGCCTTATTATTATATTGTACCATGAAATATGATAATAAATGAGAGGGCGTAGATCCTGGTTGAAAAGACAATTGTAATTTTACATTAGGTACAAAAGTCTTTGTATCGCATGGAGGTTTTTCAGAGTCTATATCGGAATGACTTTTCTGATCATCCTCTAAATTGACAGAGGCCTTAATTTTGTTCAAAGATATCACGTTTTCATTGTCGTCATCGTCATCGTCTGGTAGAGCAACATCGTTTTTTATTGTATCTTCATTTTTTTCAAAATCCAAAATTGCTTCGCTTCCAGATTTACTACTAGTATATATCTAAATAAATTATTACAAGATATACTAAATAAATAGAATTTTTATACATATAAACATACATGAAATATATTCAATATAAATATTTTCTTACCACATCAATGCATCCTAATTTTCCCATTGCATCACAGAATGCAATTTCATTGGAATGATCTACATGCCATGCCAATGCAGTAATCTTGGTATCTTGCTCATGTTCAAGATATCCAATAATTTCCTTAGTTTCTACATTCCAAACAATAATCTCTCCATGAAGTGAACTAGCTGCAATACGTGTCCCACACTCAGAAAATTTACAAATACTGAGCTCCTGCAGGAAAACAGAAAAGCAATAATCCACTATCATTAAGAAAAAAAAAATTGAATAACTTACAGTTTTCAAAGTAGAACATTTTAATCTACATAATTCCTTCCATGATAATCTTTCTACAATAACTATATCTTTGTTAGATGGATATGCTAGACAACTGCCATCTGTAGATTTGAAAGAAGGTGTGCAGTATGATTTTGCATTGAAAAAGGAGTTACATTTTGGTAGAATATTATTCCAAATATGTACAGTTCTCTTTTCCTTAATATTCCATATTCGTATAGATCCATCAGCACTAGAAGATGCCTAGAAATATCAGTTTTAGATGATGTAAAATATCTTGTATACATATGCTTATTATCATTATCAATGAAATATTAAGAAACTCAATGAGATATTAGAAATGATATAATGACATTTACCACAAACTCTTCTTTTGGATCTAAAGATAAACCTAAGATAGGTGCTTCATGGCCTTCTAGTTCTATACTCTCTGAGGTATTAATGTTTGTAATTTGTATCCGCATATCACTTTAAAAAATAAGATTAAAACATTAACACTAATATTAAATATATAATAAACATAAAATTTATATATCATACCAAGCACCAGATGCTATCAGATTACTATCTTTTGTTGTTGCTAGAGCCGAGACTGGTGCTGAAAATCTAGTAACTATTCCTTCTTTCTCCAAGTCAGGATAAGTAAGTATTTGTACCGTGTTATTGTCGTTTCCCACAAAAATTTTGCCATTCTGAAATAAAACACTTTTATTACATTTACATTCTGTTTCATTTCATATTCAATTTTCTTGATACAGTATTTCCTCTACAAAACATCTTTAAAAATATTTATAATTGGTAATTATTAAGCACACTTTTGAGATAGCTGTAATTGCTTGCTCTGAAATGCAACTAGTAGTGGGATCATCATCCATTAAATTTAGCCAGGATCTAACGTCTCCATCACATCCACAGGTGATGAGACCTCTCCTATAAACAATACAAATACAAATACATTTGATAATAACTTTATAACTGATTGTGTATATATGCAAAAATAATATACGTGATGCTATTTACTTTTCACCAGAATAATAACAGACGTCAGTATGCCCTTCTTGATGAGCATATCGCATGGGTTTCCTTATCAATGGCATGTTTATAGTAACATCGAGATTTACGTAATAAACTCGGAATCCTTGTCGGAATACTTGTATGTTTTGTCAACCTACAAATGTTTTATATGAAATATTTGCTATCTCACTACATAAAATATACGAAGCAAGTATAAACTGTCCCTGCACAATAATCGCGAACTGTTATTCACTTTTCATTTTCACCTATGGAATTACGTGCGCCCGCGCGTAATTTTATCCGTACATTTTTATTTCAGTAGAGAGAAGTCTGAAAGAAGAAAGAAAGTCTGATTATCCCGGCTTTTTTTGTGGAACCGTCGAAATCCCTAGTTCCATTTTAGCATTGGAATTAAATAGCCACTTCCATTTTCTGACACTACCGATAAATTCCATTCTAGTATGTTCGTCCTACTTACACAATTCGTGGATCAAAAATATACTTGCATACAGAGCTGAACCGAGTCAGAAACTATAAATTGAAAAAAAGCTATAAATTGAAAATTGTGTAATTTTCTTTCATCTTCGGATGGAAACTTGAGGCAAATTGGAACAAAATTTATAATCCCCGGTTTGGCATCTAGAGTTTTCCTTGAATTCATATTGGTACGTCTGCAAATTGTTTCGCGGGCACGTTCAGTGCGCACGATGGCTGAACAACCTTTTCCATGATGGCCGAGGTTGCAACGAGTTTGTGAACTTTTTCATTGTAGTATATATCAAGGATTTGTATATTAGAATGACAATGATTTCCAAAACCGCGGTTGGGATTGCGGTTGGTATCGCCGGGATTTTCGTCGGCTACTGCTTCTACTTCGATCAAAAACGCCGTAGTGATCCTGATTTCAAAAAGAAACTTCGTGAACGTAAGCTCGTTGAAATTTTTCTCCTTATTTGGTACACTTCCATGCACGATTAAATCTTGACTTTGTCGCGTGGTTCTTGATTCACTGATGTCTCTCATTAAAACAATTTCTTGTGATGACGTGCGCGTGTTAATCATCATACTCATCATAGTCCGTTTTCCACGTGTGCACATTTGTACGAGATGCTATTTATATGCTAAACATCTTTCCGCTTATATTAATTGTTGTGTTGAGATTATAGTTATAAATATATTTAACATTTTATAATTTTCAAGAGAAGATAATACTCCTTTTTTTATAGATAATATATTTATTTATATAGCTTTTTTCAAAGAAACTTTCTATTTCGTAGGTAGAAAAGCTAAGAAGCAAGCACAGAAAGCTTCCATGAAAATACCAGATTTGAGGGATCATGAATTGGTGCAAAAATTCTTCTTGCAAGAAGTAAGATTTACTGATAATATAGATAGATTTAATTTTTTAGCGTTGTTAATGACTGATATCTAGTCATTGATATAAAATTATTTATAATTTAGGTACAACTTGGGGAGGAAATGCTTGCTTGTGGCGAGATAGAAGGTGGAATCGAGCACTTGGCTAATGCAGTCGCAGTGTGCGGACAGCCAGCTCAGTTGTTGACAGTCCTTCAAAAGACTCTACCACCTCCAATTTTCCAGATTCTAGTACAGCGATTACCCGCAGTTGGCCAGGTACAGATGTATATAAAATAGAAAATATCACCTGTTGAAATGAGGCATTGTTCCATTTTTATTCTATTCATTTTTTTACAGAAGATAGTATCACAAGCACAAATGACAGAGGAGGATGTTGAGTAGAGAGAAAAATAAAGTCATTCGTAATTCTTAAATAAAATCTGAAATTAGCGAAGAGTCTGCTCATTTTTGCACAACATGTGTGCAAGCATAGTTTACATATAGAAAATCCTTAATCGTACAACTTGTCCTCTAATGAACTTCCATTTTCCTTGGCAAATGTATTATCGACTGTAAGAAATTTTTACGAATATTTAGTATTTTATTTTGTTATAAGCGGATAAAGTTTTATATCCGTTTGTTTGAATAAAAGAAATTTTAATTCAACAACGTTTCTGACAATTTCTGATAGTTGTAAAGCTTATAAAATGGTATTTCGTTGGTATTAAATTGATATTTAATTTCTTTACAATGCTAATTGCATCATTATATGTTCATCAAATATAAATATCACTAGTTTTTGCAAGATTCTAAATATTTCTATGGAAACTGTACACTCGATATCAAATCTTGCATATTATTATTAATTATTAATAATTTTAATAGATTTAAAACCTATTCAAAGATAATTGTTGTGTCTGCGTTTTGTATCATACTCTTGTTTACAATTGATTTTAATTGGTTCTAAGAAAAAATCTGTAACTCATCTTTAATAGTTCACGTGTTCAAATAGTCTATCTTTACCAACAATATTTCCTAATGCCAAAGAAAAATTTTGTTATTATTTCAAGTGTATTATATATATAT